GTCTGAAAGGAAGTAACGCTAGAGTAGACTCGCGAAAAGTGTATAAGACACTTTTAAGATCAACTAAATAGCTAAGCCCAAGGGAAGTCGTTCGGGGAGGCCCTCCCTAATTCCACAAGGGTGAGAAGAAACACACACGATAACGAAACGTTGAATCATGTAGAACTCGTAGGGTAAATGCAAAGCAAATTAGGAAGAATATGCAGTAAGCTAAGCGAAGAGGTAAGCAAGGTTAGACTATACTACAACTACTAAACGTGTTATTTCTACTACTACATACAAAAAAAATACAAACATCTACAATCAACAATCACTTCAAATTAAATGAACAAAAATAAGCATGCAAAATAAAAACTAATTTAAATAAAATAAACTACAAAAAAACATGCATACTAAAAAAACTAATTTGAATAAAATGAACTTGAATTCTATTACATAGAGCATGCAAGATAGAGAACTATTTTAACTACGGGGTCATCTTTGTTTTCTCCAACGTCGACCTGAAACAGATACGGTGGTAACAGATTAATAGAGAGCAATTAAAATTAATTATATTAAGTATTCTCACCTTAATTAATTATAGACTACAACAATCCAAAGTTTGCAGGTGTGAATAGCAAACCAAATCCAGTAAAAATGCCAAAGTAGAAAACTTGCTCTTTTAGTGGAATTCAAGTAAATCTCCTCTTGTTCTCACTTATCTGTTGAAAATTAACTGCATAATGTTGCAAGGTGAAGATGAAAACAGCAAATCCAGAATACAGTCTAAGAAAGACAACACCAGTTATTAGTTGCTTCAATATGATCAACCTGAACTTCAATTTTCTCTCATCTGTTGGACGATCTGTAGAAATAGGTAAAAAAATATTAATTAAAGAAGGGATTAAGTTAAGTAAAACATGAAATACAATAAAAACATGCACCAAAAGGCAAGTAAACAACTACACTATAAAATGGCGACATGGGCGTCAATTACATTTATGACAGATAAATATCAAAAGCAATAGAAATAACCATAGACGGACGATGTCAATTTATACTGTGAACCATCGACGTTTACTAATGTAATAATATATGTCTACGCTGTGAACAATAGATAATTGGTAGAAGAGAAACCATAGATGCCAGAGAAATAATTAAACAGTAAAACAACCACTTACCTCAAGTATACTCTATGGTGGTCGAGTTTTATTCCTAAGCGTATAACAGAGAAGTACCTTCAACAACAGATGCTTGTGAAAGGAAAATAATACCACTGATGGTGAAATCAGCCACATAGTGGAAGACATCACATGTGTAACTTTATATGCATCGGTGTCAATTGGACTGCACGTATTTCTAAAAATTGCATCGTTCAGGTCCAAGGGGCTCCACTCCTCCAGGTTTCCAATCCTTCTTATTTTTTCACCTTCTTCATTTCATGTGTTAAAGTCATAACCTGTCGAAACAATTTAATGTTAGTTTCATCTTAAATTTTAATATATTAAGAACCATAACTTCCATCAATCAAATAATAGACTATCAAACCCACTAATTAACCGATACAATTTAAGAGTAAAAAAATATAACAGTAATTGTTGTCAAACCATTCTCCATAAAATATTTAAAGATTCCTTACCCTTTACACTAACAGCCCATATCCAAAGCCAATAGAAAGAAGCACGAATGGGATTCTACTTCTTCCCCTTGCTGATTTACCCTCTAAATGTCAATTTATTACGTTTTACTGGAAACCTGTTGAAACAACTTGTCTTATTTTTTTGTTAATTTATTATTAATGATAATTACCACCACTGTTCTATGTATTTTTCGACCAGCATTCTTGGAAATAAAAGTATATTTGACTGCAAGGAACATCACATCTGTAAATAGTCTGCCCATCAAATCCAAGGATAAGGATGTTATCTCGAAACAAGCCTATATTGTAGAAAAAAAAAACAAGTCGTTAAAATCCAATGTATATAATAGCAAAGTAACTATGATTTTTTTAACAGAAATTTAGAATTTTACAGGCAGGATATTTTTAAAGGACATTTTACGTATTTTGATTATAAAACGAAAGAAATTCTTGGCGACGTGGTCACATCACAGAAAAATCTACGATCATCGCTTAAACCTGTTTTCAAAATTCAAAAATTCTAACAAATCCCTAATTATTCGACCCCAAATAATCAATAAAACTATAAAAATTCACAGTAAAAGAGTGGACAAGCAAGATGCTAAGATGGACCTCACATGCTAGACCACGAAACCGACACGCCACCGATCATTCACGCCGAAGAAAATCTAAGTAATGGTATAATGGTAATCGAAACACATCAATCATTAAATAGAAACATATTCTGCATAGTCGAATTAAAATTGAATAAGGATTAGGGCTAAATACCTTCAGACAGCAAAAATGCTGAACTTTCAACTTCTCGATGACCGAAGACAAGATTCAAGATGAAATGAAGATGAATCGAGTCGGAAGGCCATAGATGAAAATCCCATCTATACCTATGATCCATAGATTTTATAGGTGCATTCAATCGTACTAACTCAGTTTAATTCGTAAATAAAATTATATCAATTTCTAAGAATCGATGCACTATTTCCAAGCAAATTAATTAAAAATAATATCTATGTGAATTCTTGTTTAAGATACGAATAGTTGTTTTCATGGTGTATTTAATTACGATTTAAACACATAATAATCAAATAATAAGTATAAAAATCAATAATTAAGATATTTTTACCATTATTTAGCGATTACGTTCATCGAGAAAAAATGCCCAAACCTCTCGATTTGGACGAAGTAGTCAATATTTTTGTAATACTAAATAAAAACGCCGCATAGTTTTATATTAATCGACGCTATGTGAAGTTGAATGTTTATGGTTTTAAATTTTACGTTATATCGAGCAAACCTGTAAAGTATTCGAGTAAAAATATATAAAAAACTATATTCAAATATTTTCAGAGTATTTGTAATTGTACCTGAAATACCACTCAATGAAAATATTTATCATTTCTATTTAAATACAAAATTTTCTCTATTTTATTTGATTTTGCAGATACTTTTTCAAATACCTGTAATAATTTGTTTTTATCTGTAAACAAATTATAAACAATTCAACTCAATAGAATATATGATTATGTATAAATTGTTCAGAAAGCTGTTATAATAATTATAAAAATGCAAATATATTTTCCAATAGAAAATCACAAGCTCTTTGTTTTTGTATTTGAATACTTTTAAGCAAAAATTTTTATAACTATAAATATATCGGGTAAGCTTGTAAAGTAATTGAGTATTTGTAATTGTATCTGAAATACCATACTTTTCAATGAAATTATTTATTATTTGCATTTGATTTTGGGAATACTCTTTCAAATACTTGTAATATTTTCTGTAACTATAAGTACAGCAATACAAAATTATTCCGTTTAATTCATAAAACTGTAAATTAACTTTCTAAATTTAATTCCATCATTATTTATAACGTAGGAATTCATGATTCCACACAGAAAAAGTATCACACACATACATAAATAGAAGCATATTATTTCTCGAAACAAATGACCGATGATGCTATTATAAGGCCGTTAAAGAGATTAGAATGAAGACAAACAGATATCAATTGGACAGAATTTTGATATCTTCGGAAGAAGAAGAAAGCAGCACAATAAAATTAAAGTATTTTGTTCGCATTTTAAACTATGATAATCTTTCTTTATCAGAAATCGTATAAAAAATTGTACTGTACAGTACACAACATAAAAATGCATAGATTATACAATTACTCAAAACAAAGCGAACAACATTCATTTACACCAACAGTGTTTAGTGTTATAAAATCATAATTATTTTCTCAGACTGTTTATGTATTAAATGAATTTAAATAGATTATTAAAACCTAAAAATTTAGTTGCTTACAAATTTCGACTCACATTGTAACATTTCTATCTTTATGTAGACTACAGCGCACTCATTTAATTTCGTGGGAAGGTACGATAATAGCTTGAATTTAAAATACACAATTTTAATAAATTGTTGGTCTTTCTTATAGGCAACCCACTTTACTTCATAGGATTCTTATTATCGGCGCAGCAGAAAAAGTTCGTCTGTTTTGAGAAAGACGAGTTAAAATATTCACTAGTAAGTTTCAGTCACGACTACTTATTACATTTTGGCACTTTCAGCTAGTTTAATAAGGGAGAAATTACTCTAACAAGAATCAAAAACGACGTTTTCAAATTTGGAATTGAAAGTGCTCCTTTGCTATTTCCTACTATAATATTCATTATACTGATGCCTCACAAACTTTTATTTATTTTGTTACTTTCAATTCGTTTATTTAATAAAGGAGAAATTAATTTATCAAAAAATAAAAACGGCATTACAAGAACAAAGGCGTTTTTAAATCAGGAATTAAAAGTGCATCCCTTTAATTTCCAACTATAAAATTCATTTCATTAATACATCACAAAGACTTTTATACATATTGGGACTTTCATTTCAGCTGGTTTAATAAGAAAGATGTTATCTCGAAACAAGCCTAT